TAAATAGATGTACTGGTAAGCTTACAACATGGAATGGAAAATTGGGCATTCGCCTATGGACATGTCCTGCCTTAAGGACCATCCGTTTTCAATTCAACGCTTCCAAGTACAATGAAAGAACACCATTCTTAAGGTTTCCTGATCAAAATCTAAAACGAACCGCAAAAAAAACATAGTACTATAAGATGGAAATTGGGGGGGGGGGGGGGGGCGTACTCTTATGCTTTGCATGCCTTAGCGGTTAGACCATTGACCACGCGTCCTCGAGAGGACGGAGCATTGTTCCCACAGGACCGATCACCGATGGCCAATCGTTCCTTCCTACTTTGCCAAAGGTGGCTCAAAAATGTCTTCCCTAGTTTGTCTATCCTACCGATGTCACTTCCCGCCTTTTCAAACCACTTTCTACTCCCCAGTACCGCTACCGTCCTCTCCTCTCTATTCCATGCCTCAAACATCTCCATGTACGTCCCTTGTATTCTTCCCAGCTCAGTCATGTACACTTCCCTCTCCTTTTCGTACCACGGACATTCCGCGACTACATGAACACTGTCTTCGCATTCGAAGCCGCAATCGCATTTGAACTTGTCGTCTTCGTCGTCTACCGTCCTATGTCTTCGTCGACGTTCGCGAAGGCCTATGTCCCCGGTCCTGAATTTGACCTTAAGCTTTGTCCCTGCATCCATTGGTCCATGTAGGTAATCCTTGAACCCTATTCCTTCTTTCAACATTCCGTACACTTCTAGACCCTCCTTATCCTTGGATTCTTTCCTTAGATTCTGTTCTTCTCTGTCGGCACAAGCAACAGATATCTTCTTCTTGAACCCCTGTAGACCCTCCGTTTCCAGCGTTTCATCTTCGTCGATGTCCAATCCCTTCCATACGTCCTCTACAACCTTGACCCATTCCGTGGGTTGTCTACCCCTCTTTTTGTTTGCCCACTTTGCCTCCCATACTATTCTCGGCAACCTCTCCTCTCCCATCCCGCACATGCGATACTGCCATGTCAGCTTCCTTACGTCTCTTCCCGACCGTAGGGATTGGATCCCCAATTCTGCCCTGACTGCTGCATTACTTGTGCGCTTGGAGCATCCTAGGATGATTTTCGCTGCTTTCATCTGCGCCGCCTCGAGTTCTTTCACTACCTTCTTATTTCCTTCCCATACTTCTCCGGCGTACTCTAGCGGCGGTACGATTACGCTCTTCAAAACCGTCAGTTTGATGCGTGTATCAAGGTGCCGGTTTGCGAGTATTGGGTGCAGCTTCCCTGCTCGTGCTTTGCCCTTTTCCGCTACCTTGGACATGTGTGCATTCCACGAGCAATCTTTTGCGATCTCTACTCCGAGGTATGTGTACTGGTCCACTACTGCAATCTCCTCGATCCCCCACTTCCATCTATGTTCTACTGGTTCCTTCCTGCCCTCGTTGCATACCATGACGGCACTCTTCGGGGGGGGGGGGGGGGGGGGGCGAAAAGGGGGGGGGGCAAAGGCCCCACCAACGGGGCAAACGTTGCGGCGGTTCGGTTTCCCCCGGCGGCGGCGGCTGCGGCTTTTTCGGGTACTGCAATAAAACCCAAGGTCCCCCTTAAAAAAAAACAACTTTTGCCAAAATTTTTGCCCCCGGGCCGTTGGAAGTCCCAAAAGGCCGGACCCGGTTCTCTCAAAAAAGTATTCAAAACCCCCCAACTTTCCCCTTACCCCCCAAAAATCCCCCGGCCCTTCCCCCTTTCGGTTCCAATTCCCCCCTTTTTGCTCTTTTTCCAGCCCCCCCCTTAAAAGGAAACCCCCCCAACCCCGGGCCAAAAAACCGGGGGCCCCTTTGGGAAAAATCCCCCCAAAATGGGACTTGGTCCCCTGGA